CTTCAAATGAAAATGTAAAACGAATGTTTCGGTGTTATATTTGAAACAAGTTATGACTTTGAAGTTATTACAAATCATTAAAAACCCCTCGCATTTGTAGGCCACATTGGTTGGTACCGCAGCGAAGTTGAAAAATGAAATGATTTCAATTATTTCGTACGAGTGCCACTTTGTTGTGCAAAATTAATTTTCGAAAAATGTTTACTAGCAGTTTATGACCAATAACCATGGTTGTTGTTAAATGAATTGTTGTTGTATTCGTTTCTGTTTTGTTTTTGTGGAATACAGATCTTGAACTACTTTCAGGTTAATTATCCCCAAGTGCCAAATACTTTAAACTGTGTGCAAACAGACACACATACACACCAGGGTTCAATAAGTGACTTGTGCCAAGTGGCCGAGTACCAAAGGTTATTGGTGAGTGTAATTTTTCGCAAAAATATATTATGCATATATGACTTGTATATTCAGATCACATATTACTAGACCACCGATTTTGCAATTTTTTTTGAAATTTGAAATAAAAAATATGAAAGTGTAACAGTTGCTTTTTAAGGCATTATTCAGTCGTCCCTCTATTTCTTTACATATGAAATCCTTTATATTAATTAACCTCATTGAATTAAAAATTGACAAAATATGCAGCAATTCAGGTCTATTATTACTGACCGACTTAGTATATTTATTTATCTTTTTATTTATTTATTCTTTTTTTTTTTTTTTTTTTTTGATTGGTATTTATAACGTTACGAAAAACAAGTTTTATGTTATTAGATTTATTTCAAAATTCGTAGTTTGGAAGCAACTGATTTTTTGTTCATTATACATTGTTATTGATTACTTTTTCAAATTGATTTGCATATAATTCATAAATTTATGGTAATTAAATGTGTTTATAATTGCATATAGGCGTAGGTGTGTGTATCTTGTACACGGAAACATACTTCCAACGCTTGAAGAAATCAGTTGATAATCTTTTCTTTTACATGTTTCTCATATGCAAATGTATGAACTTTAAAGTCAAAATAAAAATTATAAATTGTGTGGAATATGTCTAATTAGACATGAAGTTAACCGTGTGGGTTGTTTTCAAATTGTTCAGACTGTTTCCAATCAGTATTTATTTTTTTAAACCAATACCCTATGGAAAGAGAGAATAACCCATACTCAAACCTTCGGACACAAGAAAATTCAATTTTTAGATATTATATATTTTAATTGAAAAGTTCGATATTGAAAACAAATACGGGATTATAGAGAGGGGAAATCTGTTATTTAAATTCTGATCCCTGCAAATAGAAGTAATTTTTACATTTATAATCTCATACGCATCGTGGTTCTCATGCTTAAAACTCAAAAATAAAGCCGGTTCATAACCGAAGCAGAATATCCCCTAAATCAAGTCTTCGGAGTCCTATTGGTTTTCTTCTACTAGATGTAGATACGAGGTACTAATAACCGGAATCGGAAGACATCGTTGAACTAAATGACCAAACCAACCAAACATATTTTGTTTGCGACTCCAGCTTGAATCTGTCTGTGACCAAGGCCATATAAGATCAACTCCAAAATTTAGCATGGAACCAAGGTAATTCTTCTAGATATGTAGGGAGGTCGGAAAGATAGGAGACCTGTATCGAATGCAATTTAATACGATGTGTCAACATAATCTAAAATCATGTCTATACTTGTCCGTGTCTTCGAGAAGGATTTCAAAATTTAAAAATAATATCTAATAACGGGCAATACTTTGAATTTATATTCATTAAAAAAAGTAATCAAAATTAATTTTATATTAATGCGAACATTAGGAAAACATTAATAAATCCAGTAAGGAAAAGTCAAAAGTAGGGCGGAGCCGATTATATAATACCCTACACCACTATGCATATTGGTAGAGCTCCCGTAACAAAAAAATATTTTGAAGTAGATCACACCACCTATCAGCATTTGGCCTTAGAGCAGTTATAATTTGGTTTCAGAGAGAACTAATATATAGGAGGCATATCCAATTCTAAATGGAGACATTTTATTACATTATAAAAATATATATATCGAAGCCGAGTTCCACAAAATAGAAATGTACGTCCCGAAAATCACTTCTTTTGGATTAAGGATATATAGCTCCCATTGGATATCCAAATCTTAGACGATTTCGATTAAATTTGGCAAAGGTACTTCCGAGTTCTATAAGACATCTGGTAGCAAATATCATTGTTTCGAATGCATATTACGAATGTGAGGGACTTAAAGACCAAATCGGATGAAAAATATATATGGTAGCTAAGCTATATCTGAACTGATTTTCACCAAATTTGATGTACTTGCTTCTATGCCGAATTTGGCCAGATGTGCCAAATGTGAGGTCATTTGAACTGATATTGGCCATTTAGTGCACAATTCACTCGAAATCGGTTGAAGATATATATGGGAGCTATATCTAAATTTGAACCGATTCACATCAATTTCAATAGGGTTCGTTCTTGGGCCAGACAAATATTGTTTGGAAAATTTCATCTCAATCGAATAATAAATGCGACCTGCATTTTGTTCACAAAAATACACGGTGATTCTATGAAGATCCTCAAAAGTAACTATGGGTCTATCTCGCTTCCTTCTCCATGTTACAAACAAATACACAAAGACCTTTTGTTTTGAATTGAAATTATTCCCTATAACACAGTCTCGTGTAAATAAAAAAGAAAAATAGGTCATGCAATGTTCAGATTTTCAAATTCAAAACCAAAAAAAAAAATTATTGTTTTTTAACATTCCCATCCATTGACTTTTGTTAGTTTATTATTATTTTCCAGCATTTGTTTTACAAACAGACGATTTGATTTGTTTCTAACCAAAACTAATTTCCCCCTTCAAAATGATGAGTCACTTCTTATCAGAAAAACAACATCTGATTCATTCATAATCCATCAAACATCTTCTGGACAAGTTTTTAATCAAAAAAAAAAAGTTCGTTGCTTAAATCTTTCGTTTTATAATCAAACACTCTCATAATTATAATGATGAGTTTCATAAAGTTCTAAACATCAACAAGCATGGGATGAACACTGCAGCACTCAACATAAAAACACTTGTGTATACATACAAAGATAGGGTATACCCCATTCTAGAAACGGAAATGTTCAATTTTTATTTACAATGAGATATTTTTTTCTTTTCCAAAAAACACAACGAAAGTAGAACGCCTTCCGAAATTAAAAATCAAAATTAATATTTCATAAGTAGTAATTAATCTTTAATTAAAAAAAAAAAACTATTTTTAACAAAACCCCCAAAACAATAATGAAAGAACATTTAAATGTCCATTTTTTCTGCTTTCATGCAACAACCTGCCCACTTCAGTCTTCATCTTCACATCTTCGTTCCATCCACATGCAGCCATGCCATTATTTATTGTTTTCTGATTTTCATTTTTGTTCCACTTCTAATGACGCTGGAACGACCCTCATTTGTTGAATATGATAAGCGTGAAGAGCGAGCGAGTCAGCCAACAAACCAACTTTAAAAAAAGAACCCAAAAAAAAAAGAAAACAAATTCCAATACTAATCTATCTAAAGGAGATTTATGATGATCCAAACGAATGAAATCTATTACCTATTGGTTGTGTGTGTTTTTTTTTTTTTTTTTTTTTTTTTTTTTGGTATTTGAAAAGAAAAACCAAAAACCTTATTGGAATCTTTTGAGGTTGCATGTAAGAGTGTGTGCATGTGTGGGGTAATTGTTTGAAGTTATGTTTTGGAAAGGTGGAGGGTGTATTAGCTTGGTCATTCCGTTTGTAACTTCTCGAAATATTCATGATAGACCCTACAAAGCATATATATTCTGGATCAGCATAAATTTCTAAGTCGATTTGGCGATGCCCGTCTGTCTGTCTGTCCGCCTATCCGTCTGTCTGTTGTAATCACGCGATCTTTTGAACGAATTGAGATAGAAGGTTAAATTTTGCACACATGGGTATTTTGGCAGAAAGCAAATTAAGTTCGTAAATGGGCCATGTCGGTCCACTTTTTGGTATAGCCCCCATATTACGGTACCTCCCGATATTCGGTATTTTGATGATTTTAACGACATTATTCGAAATTTGTAATGGGCACTACAGCCTATGTCGGCCTTCGACATTATTCACCAGAATTGTTTTAAAGTTCGTATCTGAAAATTTTAATGGGTACTACAGCCTATTACAAAAAAATACTTATGGAGGTCCACGTATTTGTATAGCCTCCGTTTAAATATCGTCATTTAGACGGTGTTTTTTTAAATTTTCAAGTTCTTTCCAAATGGTGGAGGGTATTAAATGTTCGGCCCGGTCGAACTTGGCTGCTTTTGTACTCGTATTTTTTTTTTTTTTTTTTTTGAAATCTAAACTAGTGGAGTATGTACTCACAAAAAGTGTTGATTGTAGATGCAAGTTTTGGAATAGCTCCCTCATGTAACACTTGCCCCCACATGTAGGTATTTTAATGGTTAAGCCAAAAATGTTAACTGAATTTGCTATCATTTTGTATTTATGGTTCAAAACGTGTAGAAAACTATCTCGCAAATATTCAATATTTTTACAAATTTTAGGCATTATTAGGAATATTAGGATATTCTATTAAACAATTGGCCCGCCTTTAGTTCTTTTCCCAAATTATATACCGCAGATGTTTTCTTTTAGATGTTGGGTTGAATGTTGGAAAATTATAAGGCAAAAAAAAATTACAATACATAAATATATATCTTGCAACTTTAAGTTGCAGATTTAACTTTTAGATTTTTGTAAATTCGGCATTTGTTGTTTAGGTCTAAACATTTAATTTTTTAACTGTTATAACCCACTGTTTCCTGGCGCACAAATGCTATGCACAAGAAAATTTTTAAGCAAAAAAAAAAAAAAATAGAAGAATGAAAATACAAATCTATTGTTTTGCCAAACTCAAAGAACAATAGCCATGTTCAAATGGAAAACCCCCAAAAATGCAAAAGAGGGGGAAAAACTTACCAGAATTTGACTCAGTTTTAGATGAAGCATCCACGGATGTTGTGGTTGTAATTGTTGGTGGCAGTGCTGTTGATGATGATGATGATGATGATGACGACGACGATAAATCCAAAGGAACAGCGGACATGGTTGTGGAAGATGGCAGTGTTGATGCTGGTGTTGTTGTTTCTGTTGCTGTTGAAGATGATGTTGATGTGGATGATGCTGACGAATCGGTTGTTATTTCGAATGGAGTCATTGAACTAGCATTGTTTGCTGAAAGATCCATTGTTGTTGTTTCTATCGCCTTAGCCTCAACATCCATCTGAGACATATGCACGCTGCTGCCGCTGATGCTGTCAGAGCTGGTGTTAGTGTTTTCCTGATGGCTGTGTTGATGGTTGTTGTTATTTTGCAATTCACCAGCCATCATTGGCATGATGGTTGTTGCTGTAACGTCGCCACCAACATCTGAATTTTTTGCAGCCAACGATGATGGATCGGTAACAGCAGCACCAGCATCAGCCGCTGCATCATTCGCCATTGTTGTTGTGGCAGCCACAAACGAATTCACATTAGCCATTGTATTTGCATCATCCATCGATGCATTGCCTTCGGCCGGAGCTGCCTGGGTTTGAATGCCAGCACTCAAAAAAACTAAGCCACAAATTAAGGCAGCCATTAGATGTGAAATAGAAGATGATGCTGCTGCTGCCCGCAGAGCTGAAGATTTTCTTCGTTTACTTGTTAACATTTTCGTAAATTTGATTTAAAGGTTTTCTCAATTGTTTTGCCACTCGATACGATTTTCTATTGTTGTTTTCTTTTCAACGAATTTCCACTTTATTGTGAACCCTTTGTTTTTTTGTTGTACACAATTCTATTAATTTAATTTGATTTTTGTTGTTGTTTTTATTTTATTTCTCCTTCGTCTGATGTTAGATAACGAGGAAGTTTAAATGCGATGTTTCTTATTTTGCTGCACTTCTTTGTCAGGTATTTTATTTTTTGTTCGTAATTTTATTTCGATTTTGAAATCATATAACCGAAACCGTGTGATTGGTGTTTTTTCATTTGATTTGCATTAAAAAAATTATTTTGTTAAAGCCCACATGGTGCTGAAAAGGGTATTTTGGAAAAATTATATAAAGGTGATAAAATATTTAGAAATTATTTTAGGAGAATTTAAGAAGAAAGATCAGGGGAAACTATTGACATACGCCAGAGCCCTGGAAAAGTTTTCATTATTTTGGAATACTAGTTGAAAGTATTTCTTAATCATCGGAAACAGAATACTTTATGGATATAAAATATCAAGGTCCTAGATGAAACATTTCTTAGACGAACACGAGAAATTATGAGGAGAACAAATATAATTTTTAATTAACTCACATTCTCGGACTCCGCTCAGCTAAATTGAAAATTATAATTTTTGAAAACTTTTAGGCTTTTTCGAGGAGGTACGGAAAGGTGGGGGCTGATATACATATACCAAAAAAAGTGGTCATTTTGTGGGGAAAGGGACCCACATATACCTTCTTCTAACTGGCTCTTGCAATGGTAAAAATATTTCAAGTTCAAATATTGAAAAATTGCTAATATTTTCGTATTTTATAGGAGTTTGTTGGGGAAGTATCAGAAAAAATAGGTCGATATTGTCGATTTTCGCAACTGACCTAAGTCAGATATAAATGGTACAACGTGTTTCAGTCACATCGAACACTCGCTTTATGTGAGAATTTTTTTATTTTGTTTTAGATATTTATTATTATTATTATTTTTATAAAATTATTTATTCTTTTAATTTTTTCATTTTTTTTTAAATTTGATCTATTATAGGTAAGGTACCAGAGGGAGTGGAGAGAAGTATTACGATATGCATAATTTGGACCAATTCGAATTCTTTCTTTGGGAGCTATGGTGCCCACCAGAGAGATAAGCGGAAATCTCCAGATCGATTCCGACTGTCCATGATTTCGTCCCAAGACCAACAGTAAAAGGGTATAAAGTTTTTATATTCCTGGTGAATACCCTCAGCCATATGGCTGGAGAGAGTATATATCATTTGACACAGCCAATACTTGGTACATCTTTATATTATTATCAAAATTAGATCGAGTTTGAAGATGGGCAATATCGTTTCACTACTTCTGGTACCTTCCCCACAAAAAGTCAGAATTTTGACAGAAAATTATTTACCTCACAGAACAAGAGAGGATCATCCGATTTTGTTCAAATTTTGCAAATCTTAATATTTGTATCTGTGCTAGATAAGGTGCGAAAATGGACAATATAGACCAAATGCTTCTAGTATCTCCCTCACAAAGGGCCAAATCTCTACGCTTTTAAAACGCCAAGTAAGAGCCCAATGGTCTCAAAATTTCACATATTTGGAATAACTTACATCTCTAGGTCTGGTATGTGGATGGGAAAGGTCGGTTCACTACTTCTGGTGCCTACCCCATCAAGGGTAAAAATTCGAAAAAGTTATAACTGTTATAAAATGTGAAATATGAATCCGATGGTCTTCAAATTTCGCACATCTTAATATTTCTCCTAACACAATATCAGGTATAAAGAACCAATATAACGGACCACTACTTCTGGTACCTATCCCACAACAAGTCAAAATTTTAAATAACCATGAAGCTCATAAAACGCGAAATAAGCATCCGATTTCTTTTTAACTCGATACATCGCAATATTTCTATCACCGCAAGATCTGATGTGGAGATGAGATATATTGGTACTTCCCCCACAACGGGTTAAACTTTTGAATAATAAAAACTCTCATAGGGTGAGTGATTCATTTGTTAGATAAATATTTTTCTCTTCAATTATATGACCTATAATCAACTCATTTCAATATTTTGCCAAAAATTATATGGAATTTATTTAAACAGAATCGATTGGCGAAACCCATTGTTTGTCCAAGCTATTCACATCTGCTTTACATATTAACACCATCGATTACTATTTGACCTCATTTAAATGTTGTTAATTAACACATTTCTTTTGGAATTTCTTTTGGAAAGAATTTCAACATTAAAGGCTATATTAAGAAATAGACATCATTTATGATTTTTTTAAATTTCTTTTGTATACAAAAACAATTTGTATTAATCATAGTTTCTTTTTTTTTCAAAAGAAAGTAATTAATTAATAGCACATGCATCTTTTATTTCTTTTATTCTCCACAAAACCAAATAAAAGAACAATCGTTTAAGAATTCCTTTTCACGGACTCATAGCTGGCTAGCTGTATGTAAATTAATTTCTAGTTTCCTGTTTGTCGACAATTCTTGTTAAGATCTTTCTCCGGTTGGCCAATAAATCTTTGGCTTGGCATTAAAGAAAACAAGTTTGTGGCTTAAGTCTTTTGTTTTCACTGTTAATTATTTTGTTTTCTTTTTTTCTCGTTCGTTTTTTTTTTCAACTTTATTATCATTTCATGTTCTTTAGAAATCTCAAAATCAACACAAATACCAAATCATTTTAGTTTATATATTCGTTATTCGTTATTTTTTATGTATTTTAAATACATATTTTTTATGCTAATAGATATTCTCTCTTTGACTATTTGTAAAAGTCACAAGAGGAACCGGTTTTCCAGTTGGACCACTAACAAACAGCCACAACAACGAAAAGAAAATAAAACCAAGAATAAATGCCGCGACACTCAAAACTCAACGCTATGCAGTTTTTGGGATTTTTCCCTCAATTTAAAGTTATGCGAAATGTTGTCATAAAAAACCAAAAAATTTTGCAGTCAGGCAGCTGCACATAACGAACAACAATTCACAGACACACCAACGCCACGGCAAGACAAGACAAGGCAAGTTTCTTTGGCAGCCGTTGTCATGCAAGTCAAGAGTATTAAGTAATCACACAAGGCAGCCGAAGCAAAATTCCAAATAAATGCGAAATGAAAGTGAGGGCATAGCTTTGGGGACACCACTTGAATATCGGCACTACGTTAAGGTGTTTTCAATTTCATTATTTTTTTAATTTTAATTTTATAGTTTTGTTTTTATCTTTTCTTTGAATAATAATCTTTTTATTGCAGATCCATAAAAATCGAACACTTTGAATTTTTATTATTTTGTTTTCATCTCCTTTTATCCCAAAAAAAAAGCAAAGAAGAGAGCTTTATCCCGTTCACGTTACCACTTTAATGTTACGCGTTCAACACCCGTTACCAAACAATCTCTATAACCAACTAAAGTTAGTTGGCAGCAGTCAGGTTTGTTAGCCGTAACCCAAGTGACCAGACATGCTATTGAGTTTCTCCAGTGTAAGCTTGAGCAAATTCACCACAGTGAATTGAGCCTAGTTAAAATGAAATTCACCACAAAAGGTCTCTCTTTCTCTGCGTCTGTAACTCAGCTTTGCTTAGCAATACTTCTTGTTTGTTGGTTAGGTTAGCCACGTTTTAACTTGTCTGGAGGTATTTGTTGAGAGCGCATGTTAAGGCGATCAATGTCCGTGAAAGACGTGTTAGATGAACAGTGAAGACATTGTAGCGATTTTTTATGGGAAATGGAAAATCAATAATTTATCAAGAATAGACGTAAATCTTCATTTGTGTTAAACAAATCTCAAAAAATATACTGACATTGTTTTCAGAATTTTTTTACTGGATAGTGAAATTATTTATATCAATATAAACAAGTCGCTAAAACTAATGGATAAATTATGACTGAATTTAAAGTGAAAAATCGTGGATTCAGTGGATTTGAAACCCTGGAAGTCAAATTGCCAATAATTTAGATGAAATGGGGGTTATTCCAAATAGTGAACCATTTCTAGAAAATAAGTTGGCAGAAAAATACTTAAATTAACAAGTAAAGTGCATTAAGTTCGGATCCCATTATGGTCCATAATGAGTATTGAATCGGTGGGTATCGTAATATGTGCGCTATTGTAAAACGTTAACCTATACATACAATGCTTCGCCAACGGACCTAGAACCCAATATGACCCGCAATTACCAAGTTTTAGACAAATCCGTGGAAAAATGTGACAAAAGTCATCAAAATAACGAATGTCGAAAGGCACCGTTATATGGTGGCTATAGCAAAGCGTGGACCGATATATCTCATCCCAGATACAATATAAATTGTTCTGCCAAATTTTGAAACCCTGCGTCAACAGACGTACAGACAGACAGACATCGTTATACCCTCATGGAGGGACATTGTTATACCCTGGTATGAGTGAAACATTCCATTTGCAAAAAATCAGGTGGAGCCCCACCACCTAATGTATAACATTTTTAAAGCCGAATATTATAAAAGTAATGTCAATATCTCTCCAGCGTATATACCTATTGGTGTCACCTGCCTGTATTTTAAGTCGAAGAAAAACTGGCAGAAACCCGCTAAAGGGCTTAAGGAACATTTCGGCTCACCAATACTAAGCCCTTTTGTGCTCATTTTGTTTATTTCATTATTTATTTTATATCAAATTAATTCATATTTATCTATTCTTTCCAATTTTTTTTTCAGATTTCGTATATTTCTAACTAATTTTTCAGACAGTCAAATTTTTCTCATTAGAAAGAGAAAAAGTTATTTAAGCGTTTTCTGCAATCATGGATTGACATCACTGTTACAAACCAAAAATTTCATGAGGCGAAACAAAAAATCACGCAATAGTTAAGCGGAGTTAGTACTCACTGAAGGAATAACTTAAAAATCATATTTGATAAACACCAACAGGTTTAAGCCAAACTTTACTATGAAGAGTGTTATTATTGAGAGTCATTTATGGAGGAGGGTGTGGGTAGTTTAACACACCACCTGGTGAGAGAGGGAGAGCGTAAGGTGAATTAAGTATTCACAAAAAAACAGCTGAGTAAATTACTAGCAATTCCAATTGGGAGAAATATGAACACAGTAAAAATTCTCATTCAAATTGTGAATCTCTCTCTCTCCCTCTCTCAGAATGAGATTCCCTCTCATTCTCACCCACAAAAGGCGTTAGAATTTGAATGCGGCTTAAAATGCATGATTAATACTTTGGTGGTGTTTTCAGGCGTTGCCACCGACGAAGACAATGCGATTAAAGTTCATTAACTGTATTGGTGGTGTGGCTAATGTGTGTGAGGTTTAATATATATTCATTCATGGCCCGGCTTTAATTGCAACCTCCTCCATCCGATTTCGACAAATAACTGGCATCAATGCTTGGCTATTTGTTTGTCTAGCGGTAGACGTAATGGAAATGTTTTGCATGGCTTTTTTCGGAAGACATCTCCCAAAAGAAGTGATTGATAATCACTTGGAGTCTGCAGTGTTGTAAGTGGTGTTGCTCTTGCACACTGTAATAACAATAATAAATGGTCAGTTACACACACACTCACTCACATCGTTTACCACTGTTTTGTGTTTAAGGTGAAAAAAACAAAGATTTCATTGTTTTATTTTCGTTGTGATCGCTTTATTTTTATTTCGGTGTGTGTTTCGTTATTTTGTTGCTGTTGCGGCTATTACTGTCGTTTGTGTTGGTGTTGTTGTTTTTGTCGGTTTATACAATATGTCATGCCGCTTTACCCATATGAAACCAGTTGCATATGAAAGTAAAAGTGATATAATGTGTAAATAATAAATTGACGGACGGCGGCTATTTTCGTTGCTTTTTAATTTCGTTGAACATGCATCGAAGAATGTCTTTTGTTGCTGTATTTCGGGTCGATTGTTTACAAAATATGACAATTAAATTTGTAAAAAACAAAAAAATAAATGTTAAACGCTTTTTCGAGGCGGAACATTTTTAATTTGTCAATTACCCGTGATGGAAAAATCCATTAGCGGAGAAAAGCGATAGACCACATTGACACAAAAAAAAAAAAACAAAGAAAGAAATGTACAAAATCTATCCATGTTTTAATGGATATTTTCAATTATTTTAAGAATTTTGTAATAATTTCAATCCTCTGTTTTCTAATGGTGTGTCATGACATAGCCGTTTAATTTGAAAAGAAAAAAACGAAACAGAAATCCTCCATAAATTCCAGATGTTAATCTTTGGAATTCTTTGAATTTTTTATGAGTCTACCTTTTTGCCGTCATTTGACCATTTTGTGGGGGACAAAAAGGCTTCGCTTGGAGTTCGTTAAAAATATTCAAATCATAAAACATACTTTGTTTTTCGAGTTAAAACTTATCTGGCAGCTTTTAACAGAGACATCCATCCAACCAACCATTTATTCGTTGCTTGCCCCTCCCTGCCTGCATGAACTGCACACAAGTTTGTTGTCTAAGTCTTTTGATTTGTTTTGTTCTTTTGCCTTTCCCACAGAATACAAAAGAAAAAAGACCCCAAAAATATGTGTAAACTTCTAAGAAAAATCTTTATTTGGCGATTACATTGCGAACAGACATTTGTGGTTTGTTAATTTAAAACAAAAACTCATCATAACCTTGGTCTATTTTCCTAAGAATTCACAGAATTATTATTCGGCTTACGGTTGATTGAAATCTGCAGTGTATACGGTTGTGGGTGATTAATTTTTTCATTTCATTGGAAAAACCATGTCATTTCCGTATTTCTTATTCATTCATGATAAATTTGTACTTTGAATAGTAAGATTGTTTTTTGACTCTTCGCAATGAAACTCATTTAAAGAGCACTGTTTAAACAACAATTAATGAAACAATCAGCCCTGATTTTTAAGACAAGTTCGAATATTTACACCTTATGTCGTTCAATTTATAACTACATGATGAGATAAAAAAACTGCGACAATGTCAAAAGCCATCATTTTTACATTTTTATTTTAAATTTTATTGAATGAAAGCAAAAAATGTCGGAAATAGCATCAACATTTAGAATACGTTTAGATTTGTTCGAAATTGTCACCTTTGGCACGAATTATGGTCTTAAAACGGCCAATAAAACTGTCACAGGCTACCCGAATGTTGCTCTGCGGTATTTTGGCTCATTCCCGGCGAAGCGCTTGCTTGAGGTGATCGACAATTTGGTTTTTTTTTAGAGGCAACCTTGCTCTCCAAAATACTCCAGACACAAAAGTCCAACGGATTGGTATCCGGAGATTTTTGTGGCCATTGTGCCCTGGAAATGAAGCGAGGAATTTCATTTTGTAACCATTCTTGGGTGGCGCGTGGTGAGTGCGATGGTGCTGAGTCCTGTTGGAATGTCTATGGTCTGCGGCCAAAATGTTTGCGTGCCCAAGGCTTTAATACACCCTCCATCGGCTGTTATGGCGGCCCACACCATCACCATGGCCTGCGCTTGGGTTCTGGTGGCCAGCCGAAGGTGCACATTTTCAGCTAAAATCTTTGGCATTTTGTCTGTTTACAAACTGCTGGACAACGAATTTTTTTCATCAAAGAAAACCAAATTCGGCAGTTTACCCAGCACTTCCGGCCAAGCGGCAACTCTTTAGATCTTTTGAGTCTATTTTCTTTCTGTTGCGGAATTTCAATGACTTTACCCCGAGCTCATTTTTCAATATCTGTCGAAATTAATATTGCGATATGTTCAGCTCACGAGCCATTTTTTGACCACTGCGATTCGGGTTTCGATCAAGTCGCTTCTTTATTTTTCGAATCATTTCTGCTGATGTTACTGTTTTCTTCCGTCCACTTCCTTGACGTCGGGCTACGCTACCGGTATCACTGTAACGAGCGATGGTACGAGACACAAAAGATTTATTCACGTTTAAGTGCTGGAGTGCTCTAACGATAGCCACTTGTGGTTTTCCAGCCAAATCACACTATCACGCTTGAATTCTATCACGAATAACTTTTTTCCTGGAAAATCCTCACCAAAATGCTTTTGTGCGCTTGTAAACAATATAATGAGGTGTTACTGGAATAATTTTAACAGCTGTCGGACGAGTGGCTTAGAAATAAAAGCAGTCTGAAATTGGTTGCTGATTTTTCATCTCGCCCTGTGTGTCGTGCTCTTAGTAAGGTTGGCATCAGAATGGCTATAGCAGTCATCACTGAGCACTGTCGCATAAGATCCTTGACTAGAAAATGGAAAAATCCCGATATTGAATACCGTAGGCTTCATAAAGAAGAGCAAGAGGCAGAAACTATTGGGCATATTTTTGTCGCTGCCCTCAACTTCCACTCTGGTATCTTCTCCACTTGGGAGTAAAATACTTTTCCATTGTTCCTTTGTCTATGAAAACTTTCCTCTATAAGCCTTCCATTTCATAAGCTGTGATCATTTCCTACATCTCTGTCTTTCTTATCTTCTAAGCTTGAAAGAAATTGACCATTGGTATCCGAGTGAATTAGTGAGTTGTCCAAAGATTTCAA